CTCCAACTGGCCCCCACCTCCTAGGAGCACCTTTGGCTATGAACTCATCTATGGATCAATCTACTTATGAAAATAATGCCCCATGCTTCAATCACTTTCTGAGAGCCTCACCTCTGAACAGATGAAACTTTTGGGGGCCACTTTAGATCTAAATTATAACATAAGCCTTTGACTGAATGGATAAAGCTCACTCACATTATGGAGGGTAATTTACTTCATTCAGTGTCCATGACTTTGTTTTGTTTTTGGTACTGGGGATCGAACTTCAGTGTCCATGATTTTAAATGTTAATCTCACCTAAAAAAAACCCTGTGCTGTATTTGACCAAAGATTTGAGCACCATAGTCCAGCGACATTGACACTTAAAACTAATCATCACACCCAGGGAAAAAAGTTGAATTGAAGCTGGGTATGGTGGTGCACACCTGTAATCCCAGTACTTGGGAAGCTGAGGCAAGAGGATTGCTGTTGAGTTCAAGCCCATCCTGGGCTACATAGTGAATTCAAGTCCAGGCTGAACCACATAGCAAGACCTTGTCTCAACGCCTCCCCCCGCAAAAGATGAATTGACTAAATTCTTACAGTCAGGGAGCTGGGAGTTTGCATCTAGACCTAGAACCCAAGATTCCTTTATTTTGTCCCAGTACTGGGATGACCACATATTTGGGGACAGTATCAGCTCATATCTATTGCCCCAGTATAATAATTAATAATACTCTTTTAGTCCTCCAAGTATCCAATTAGAACAATGAAGGTGGTCACTTTTTACCAATGAAATCTTCAATACCACTCAACATTTATTAATCTAAGACTTGATGCTTAACCTACACTTCATCTACTTCTGGTCTTAAGGACAACCCATAAACTTGGTTAGGAAGGAGCATGAGTCAATTCCAAAAGTGTGTTACTGATAGGAATAAAACCTTGGTGAGAAAAACAAAAAATAAAACAACAACAACAGAAGAGTATGAGTCCTGACATGCTGTGTACAGTGGAACTGAATGGGTCTCCATTCTGTAGGTGTTATGTTATGTTATGTTATGTTATGTTTTGGGCTCCAAAACAACCAAATATGGAAACAATGAATAAAAATGCTTGTAGTATTTGAATCATCTGCTATTAGTCTCTCTGCCTTTGGACAGAAGTAAATATTTTACTTTGTGGAAGCATCTTGTTTTTCTTTTTCTTTTTTTGGTACCAAGGATCAGGACCTTGTGCTTGCCAGGCAGGCGCTGAGCCACTGAGCTAAATCCCCAGCCCAACATCTTGTTTTTCTAGAACAGACACTAAGATCCAAAGCTGTGGACAAAAGGGACCAAATGCTGCACATCCTAAGTCATAAGTGTTGCCAGCCAGGGCTCTTCACTTGGGTCAGACTTCTCTCTAGGGGCTTCCCAAGAGAGGACTGAGTGGATGTGGCCTTTGAGGAGAGGAGCAACCCAGGTCTGTATTGAGAGTCTCCCAAACAAGAGAAAACAGGAGTCTCTGGCCTCACATGTTACAGCAAGCTCTAAAGACTGTCCTTTGTGATAGAGTTCAATGTTCTGTTCACAGACAATGATAATTTTATTTATTTATTTATTTATTTTTGGTACCTGGGATCGAATTCGGGACCTTGTGCTTGCGAGGCAGGCGGTGGAACCACTGAGCTAAATCCCTGGCCCAATGATAATTTTTTAAATATCAAAAACTATCCTGTTTGCTTCTAGATCTTCTTGTGGCCTTGTCTGACAGTCCTTTCCCAAGTCTTTCTTTGGAGACAGGAGAGGTGGAGGTGGTGGAGAAGCCAGAGTTGGGAGTGGACAGAGTGTTGCCAGCTCGACCTCACTTCTCTGTCCAGGCAACTCCTTCTTCTACAGTCACAGAGGAGATCTTTCAGCCATATGTGAATTTTAAATTAAAAAATAGGGTTGGGGATAAAGCTCAGTGGTGCTTGTCTAGCATACATGAGGCCCTGGGTTTGATCTCTAGTACTGAGCAAAATCAAAATAAAAAATAAACAGGATGAGGGCTGAGGGTGAAGTTTAGTAGTAAAATATGTGCGTCGTAGGTGTGAGGTCCTGAGTTCAACCCCCAGCACAGCATAAAATTTTTTTAAAAAATAGACAAGATAGCAATTTAACTATTAAAATGAGAGAGATTTCTGCAAGTAGCAGCCATCTTGTGGTACCAAAGGATCTACTCCTTGGCATGATGAGGCAATTGGAAAAATATCACTTCAATTATTTATTCAGAGCAGTTGATGCTCCCGAATAAACCATTTACCTGCAGACTAATCTCGGCAGCTGAAAGATCTCAAAGGCTCTGACTGGTGATCCTGTTACCTCTCAAGGTCCCACAGAGCCTTGATCTGTCTGACAGATGTCAGAGCTGGATCCTTGCTGTAGGGTCATAATTGTAAATTAGTAGTGTACCCTTATTTATAAGAATATTTATGAGTCAATGACAGCTATACCCCACGAGTTACCAGGCAATGGGAGAAATTGTTAATGAATCCTCAAATTATCATCAATTTAATCCAACATCATCAAATTGGAAGTACTGTTACTAGTCATGCAGTCATTGGAATAATTAAATGATAAGGCACATAATATGCTCAAAATATTGGTGAATTGACTGATTATGGGTATTATTATAAATGCAATTATTTAAAATCGTCTAGATTGTAGATCCCTGAGACTTGCCATTAGGATAGCTTAGTATTCACCCTGAAGGCTACACTCTTCTTTTTTTTTTTTTGTTACCCAGGATTGAACTTGGGACCTTGCACTTTTAAGGCAGGTGGCAGAACCACTGAGCTAAATCCCTGGCCCTGACCCAGTAGGCTAAAGCAATGGTTCTCAAAGTGCAGAATGCAGGGTCCCTGAGGGCACCCAAGACCTGTGCCTTGGTTATTAAAATGATTTTATAGGCTGGGGATTTAGCTCAGTGGCACCACATCTGCCTTGCAAGCCCAAGGTCCTGAGTTCAGTCCCCAAAGACACCCCCCCCAAAAAGCCAAAATGATTTTATAGTAATACTAAGAGATTATTTGTCTTTCTCATTCTCATTCATTCATGTGTGATGCTAGAGGTTTCCAGTAGCCACACGTGTGATAAGGTCATGGCCTCAAAGTCTAATAGAATGTATACATCCAGATTCTTGTGTTCTAAAATGCTCTCCGTTTTGTAGAAATTGGGCCATGATTGAGAGGACGAGGTGCATCTGTAATCCAGCAGAACCTGTGGCATGGAATGTAGCCAGAAAGAGGCTGAGGTTCATTAAACTGCATGTCTACATAGGATGTTTTATCTTGGTGCAGATACAAAAAAAAAAGAAGGAACAACAGTCGTGCCAAAGTGGGCTGCGGCCACGTGCAGCCTATTTGCCCAAGGATAAGGCTATTAAGAAGTTCCTCACTGGAAACATAGTAGAGGGTTCAGCCCTCAGAGGCATTTCCAGAGTGTCTTCCATGCTTATTTGCTTCCCAACATCCATGTGAAGCTGCATTACTGTGTGAGTTGTGCCAGTTACAGCAAGGTGGTCCGGAATCCATCTCCTGAAGCCTGGAAGGATTGAACACCTCCACCTTGATTTAGACCCGCTGGTGCTGCCCCACGACATCCACCAAAGCCCATGTAGGAGCTGGATCTTAATGGACTGAAGAAAAACCATCTCTGGAAAAGAAATAATAAAATGGATAGCATGCTTTAAAAAAATAAAATGTTCTCAGTTTTGGTCAGTGTTTGTCAAATAATTGGAGATAGGCAAAGGGATGGGATAATTTGGGGACAGTGATGATCTGATTTCTCGGTTGTGGTGTTGGTTACATGACTATATCCATTTGTCAAAACTTATAGAACTGTACACTAAAAGTGGGTGGATTTTACTACGAAAATTATATCTCAATTTAAAAAGCAAAAATTATTTCTCAATTCATAATAGGATACAGTTAGATACAACCCACATAAACAAAAGCTTTCAATAATGTTTAAGCTTATAAAGAAATCCTACAACCAAAAATCTTGAGAACCACTGCACGAAGACATAGATTTCTTTATTGAAGCAGTTGTAATTACTCAGTCTGGAATTGGGGAAAGTTATTAAAAGGGAGGATGTAATCTGTCTGGCCTTTGCGCTCTGCAGTTGTGCTGAAAGATGTGGTAGCCACTGGACACATATGATTATTTAGCATATGATAAGGTGGCAGTCCATGGGCTTGGGGTGTAGCTCAGTGGGTGGTCTAAATTGAAATGCAATTAGTCCAAAAGAAGAAGGTAAGATATCTTATTAATAATGTTTTGTAGAAATGACAATATTTTGGATATAGGGGATAAAGTAAAATATATTGTCAAAACTAATTTCACCTCTTGCTTTTTACTTTAATGTGATTACTAGAAATTTTTAAAGGTTACCCATATGGCTCTTCCTATTGGACAGTGCTATTCTGGAGACACCCAGACTTGCCTGCCAATTTTTCTTCTATCTCTTGTAAGACGTGTTTAAAAGCCTTACTGCTTCTCTAAATTTCTTGGGTTTCCTGGAATGTAAAATGTGGGTAATGTTAGAGTTGAATATTAAATGTGAATAATGTGACAATACTTAGCAATACGTACTTAGCAACTAAGTAAACAGTAAGCTGGGCGGCTATCGTTATTAAAGACCTTTGTTTCCCTATTGATGCCTTCGGAGACAGGCCCCATCCTTGTTAAAGGGCCCTCCTCTGCAACCTGTTTCCACCTTGATGACAGTAATAACACTTGCAGAGGGTTGACTCCACTTTCGGGCAGGGAGGGGTCCCTCTCCACACTGAAAACGTGACCCAGGGGCCCTCTTGAAAGTGGAATATCTTCATTTGTAGATGGGACCAGGGCAGAATCTGGAAACGAAGCAGTCCTGCGGCCGCTGAGCCTCCCTTAGCAACTGACGCCTGCGCCGGTTGTTACAGTGGAAAGGAAAAATAAAGACGTAGTCCGTCGACTATTGCCCTCCGCGGATGCTACTTCCGGTTTCCCAAGAGTCTGTCCTCCGACCTACCTTCACCGGAGGAGGAAGGATTGTGGCCGTGGGTTCCGCCGCCTCGGGAGCCTTTGGAACCCTTGGTCTGGTGACCGCGGGGGCGGCAGAGACAGCGAGGGTGGCGACAAGCCCCCCTCGCTGCCGCGATGCTGCGCTCCCGGGCCGAGGCGGCGGTGACCGCGGCTGACAGGACCATCCAGCGCTTTCTGCGGGCTGGGGCTGCTGTCAGGTGAGCTTGCGCTGGGGGGCGGGGCGGGCCGGACCGGGGATCCAGACCAGGCCTGGGGCGGCCTTTTCACACCCAGTCAGGTCCCCCCCCCCCCCCCCAGGGGTCTGCATCCTGAAGGGTTGGAGGCCTAGGCCCTGAGGCGGGAGGGGTGACGGGCCCTCAGGGCTTCCAGTCCTGCGGCAGCACCGGTTCGCCGGCACTTGCCAGTTCTGTCAGTGGCCCCCGCCCCCGCCATTGCTTTCCCATCCCGTCAGCGCCCCAGGACTAAGAGGATCCCTGTGTGTTGTCAGGGCCCCTAATTCTGTCAGTGCCGCCCAGGCCTCTGGGTGCCTCCTGGGCCTGTCAAGACCCCTTAATCATTCTAGGACACCCCCAATCCTTCTGGACCCTCCAGTCATATCTGTTCCTGCTTTGCCAGAGTTCCACAATCTTCCCAGGCTCCCCAGTCCTGCCATGGCTTTCACAATGTTAAAAGAGCCCCAGGCCGGCAAGATACCCTCCATTTTGTCAGTACCCCTATTTCTTTCAGCGTCCCCCCCCCCATCCCGTTTTGCTAGGGATCCCCACTTCGGTGTCCCTAAATCTTGTTAGTGGGAATAAATACCCTTATTTTATAAGGGTCCTTGAGTCAGTCACAGCCCTTTCACCTGTTAAGGTTGCCCGTCCTGAAGGCCTAAAGCCCTTCATTCCTGCTAGAACCTCCCAATTGGCTGCGTGCTCAGTCCTATCACAGCCTTCATTTTTCTCTTTTTCGCCCTCCCCTAGGTGCTGGGCTTTGGAGCTGAGCACCACACCTCCATTACTGTAAATGACTGAGACCCGTTGCTCAGGTCGGCTTCCTCTGGAACTGGAGGAGTTTAAAGAGCTTATTGTTCAGGGCTGGAAGCCCTCAGTGGCTATCCTGTTCAGTGTCCCTATTCTGTACATGGGAAATGGACCTTGAGCTGGCCTTGCCTGTGGCCCCACAGGTGATCTGATAACAGAGCTAGGAAGAGAAAGCAAATCTCTTTGCTGCCAGGCCTCACCACTCTCCTCAGGATGTCATTTTACAGAGGAATGGAGTTTGCAAAGTTGCTACTTAACCTGGGATTTTTGTCCCTTGGTTTTTTGTTCATGATGTGCTGAGGATCTTTCCTCTCTCTCATCACTTTGACACAGTGCCTTCAGTTCCCCTCATGAACTTTGCGACTTTAAGCACAGATTTTGAAGCGGGATAAGCATGGGTCCAGAGCCACATTCCTTTACTGTGACCAAGTTAGTTATATCACCTACTTCTTTCGTCTTTAAAAATGTGGATAGGGCTGGGGATTTAGCTCAGTGGTTCTGCCACCTACCTTGCAAGCCCAAGGACCCAAGTTTGATCCCCGGTACCAAAAAAAAAAAAATGTAGATGATAAGCCAGACATGATGGCACACACCTATAATCCCAGGGAGCTGAGGCAGGAAGAATGCTGCGAGTTCTAGCCTAGTCTGGGGTACACAGTGAGTCAAGGCCAGCCTGAACTACATAGGAAGACTCTGTTGCCAAAAACAAAAAAAAAATGTGGATGATGGATGATAGTAGAACCTAACTGCATGAGGCTGTGTTCAGGATAAGATTATCAGTGCCTTGCATAAATTATGTACCCTTAAATGAGTGCTTGCTGGGGGATTTTAAAGCATTGGTCAAGGGCTTTAGTACTTCAGTGATAGTCCTTTATTACCTTTCCAGGCACAGTGATACATTAAGAAAATTCAAAATAAGCCAGGTGTGTAATTCTGGCGTTCAGGAGGCTGAGGCAGGAGGATCACCATGAGTTCAAGGCCAGCCTGTGCTACATAACGAATTCAAGCCAGCCTAAACTACATAGCAAAACCCTGTCTCAACACCCACCCCAAAAGTTCAAAATAACTTTATGAACGAAACTGAGGTTATAATACTTAATACTTACAGCAGCTAATGCTTATTAAGTTCTTAACTCATGTCCCCTATGTATTAGTGTTTATTTAATCTTCACTGCAATACTGTAAGGTAGGTCTCATGATGGTCCCCATTGTACAGATGAGGAGGCTGAGGCTTACAAGGTGGAATGATACCGTAGGACACAGCAAATCCGGGTTTGAGCCAGAGTAATGTGATTCTACTTTCTCAACCAAGTCTGTAAATATTCTATGGACTGTGCCTCAGAACAACAAGTTTATTTGAAATTCATTCTATGACACTAGGAAAATTCTAACTATTGTAAGACAATTCACTATTATCACTAATGACTCTGCTGAGTTGAGATCAAAATTGGATTCATATGATCCAAATATACACACACACATCTATACATATGGAGCACATCTATAGGCATATATTACACATAAATGAATGCACATGTATGGTTGCCCTTCTTTAGTAGAAATACAAAAGCTATACTTTCAGGGATCATTTCTATAGTTGGTTATTTAGTAGAAATACATAACTTTATATAAAATAATGTTTTAAATTACTGGTAAATTTTCTTCATTTGTAGTAAAAAAATGACTTCAGTGTTCAAGTGAAGCCTGAAATTAAGAACTTAATTTTATAAATATATAGAAGATCTTTTACTGTACATTTAATATTCTAAAAGAAATGCATTTATATATATCTGCTACAGTATTCAGTCATTTAGCAAATATTATTGAGAATCTCTTTTGTGCTGGGCATGATCTAGATAGTACTTCTGATACATCAGTTAGTACAACAGATACAGAACCCTCCCCCTAGGGACTCCACTTGAAGGAGATGGACAAGAAAGTAGTGAATAAGTGAATTTTATGTTAGAAAGTAATAAGTCCAATAGTAAAAAGAAAAAGCAGAACTGGGTAAAAGGGGCCAGGAGTGCAGGTTCCAGGAGTGTGTGCAGAATAGGCCTCTTTTAGCAGTGAAGGGAAATAAAGGTGAGGGAGGGAGCCAAGTGGTGATGTAGGAGAAGAACATGCCAGGCTGAGGGAGCAGCAGTGCAAAGGCCCTGAGGTCAACAGTGTAGGCTATTGTGACAGCCAGTGCGGCAGTGGAATGAGGCATAGGAGGAGGAAAACTCCTGCTTTCCCTCTGAGACAGGGCTTTGGGAAGGCTGTATTTTGTCTTGGATTTTAAATCCTAATTTAAACATCCTGATTCTCAAGACATAAACCTGTCTATATTACCTTACCTTTAAAGGTAGGTATCTGGTGGGTTATTTTGACAAGATGTTATTCTACTTACCTAGGTCTGTACATTCACATACTGTGTTTGTGATGAAAGAAGACAGCAAAGTTATTTTCTTTTTTAGATATAAAGTCATGAAAAACTGGGGAGTTATAGGTGGAATCGCTGCTGCCCTTGCAGCAGGAATCTATGTTATTTGGGGACCCATTACAGAAAGGAAGAAACGCAGAAAAGGTAAGGATGGGGCCACTTCTTCGTGGTCTCTGGACTTGACTGATAATCCTTTTTATCCAGAAACAGTATGAAAAGCTGGAGGAGTGGGTCATTTTTTGTTCTCTTGTATGTTTACAGTGAGTAAGGACTTTAGTTGTGGAACAGTACTTCTGCATTGACTCATTATTTTCCACCCTATTGTAAAAAGGTTTCTATTTCAGCACTTATGGGGACTTGAATTTAAGGCTTGCTTTGTAATGTGGCTCAGATTATCTAACTGTTCTCATTAATATGGCAATTGTGTTTTTAGCAGTGCAACTAACTGTTTCATGCATCTATGGTTTCTCTGACTTCTTGCTAATAACAGTAAAATTTTCAAGTTAGTTTATTCACTAAAAAAACTATTTCATTATTTTTTAAATTATCCATTTTGTAAATGTTGCTCTACTTATCACTGATTAAAATTCAGCAAGTAAAATAAAGCGATGGATGTAGCAAAATGTGATCATTATAAAATCTGGGGATGGTTGTAATTGAGTTCGTTATATATTCTTGTGAATGTTTGAGAATCTTCATATGAAAAAGGTTTTTAAAAAGATTTTTAGTAGAAGAGGGAATTAATTCAAATTTTGTTGCTCTCTTCGCAGAAAGCTGATCAGAATTGGTAGAGTGATGTCTTTCCCAGTGATTGTTTTAAGAACAAAATCATTGTCCTGGGAAAGCAACAACAGAACATTGTTTTCTGTTCTGAGAGACATTGTTTTCTTATTAAAGAAGAGAGAGCACATGAGAGAGTGAGGGAGAGGAGAGGAGAGATGGTTACTAAATGTTTTTATATATTTAATAATGAATGAAGCTGTGCCAGACACTGCGATAACGTAACAGGGACCTGTCCTGTTGCTTATAGTTTGCAGGAGCAGTAGGCCCAGGCCTGGGCACAGATTAATGCTGTCCCTAGCTCTGTGTGGATGAGGACCTGCTCAGATTGGGAACCTCAGTCTAAGACCATAGTACAGATACTCTGGGTCCTGGCTGGCAGAGAAGAGAAAAGCTGGTGCAATGTGATGTGCTGGTCTCTTCCCTCCCCAACTTTCTTTCAGGGCTTGTACCTGGCCTCGTTAATTTAGGGAACACCTGCTTCATGAACTCCTTGCTACAGGGCTTGTCTGCCTGTCCTGCCTTCATCAGGTGGCTGGAGGAGTTCACCACCCAGTACACCAGGGACCAGAAGGAGCCCCCGCCACACCAGCACTTGTCCTTGACCCTGCTGCACCTCCTGAAAGGTACCTAGAGGAGCCATGTACATTGGCAAAGCAAGTCAGCTGACAGGCAGAGAACAGGTTAATTGCTTTATTTCAGAAAAGGACTATATAGATCATCACTAAAAAATCCTAAGAGCCCAACATATACCATAAAGGTATTTTTAAAAAAGTAAATCTAGCCAGGGATTTAGCTTAGTGGTGCTGCCACCTGCCTTGCAAGCGCAAGGTCCTGAGTTTGATCCCTGATACAAAAGAATAAATAAATAAATAAAAAATAAAATCTGGGACCATTTGTTTTAAAATTCGTCAGTTTTAATAACAGCTTTTTAAGTGAGGAAAGAAGTCCACTGCCATGTAAACATTTTCATTGTTAAGAAGTACTTTGGTTTCAAAAACATTTAAAAAAAATGCCTTAGCCTAGGAAATAAGGTCATTCACAAGAAGTATACACATAGGTACCACTCCAGTGTTCAATTTGACATCATCACATCAAAGAAATATAAATAAAATAATAGTGCTTTTTTGTTTTCTTTGTTTTGTTTTCTTGTCTGTCAGCAAAGATTTAAAAATCCACAGTTCTGGCCAGCTGCTGGACAATACATCCACACACTGCTAGTGGGGGTGGGACTTAGTGTACCTTTCTGGAAAGTGGTTTGGTACTGCCCAGTAATAGCTTACAAAATGTTCAGTACTCTTTGGTCCATTGATCCCATGTCTGGGAGTCTATCTCATAGAAGTAGTTAGAAATCTGTACCCTGAGTTGGGCATGGTGGCACACGCCTATAATCCCAGCAGTCTGGAAACTGAGGCAAGAGGATCCCAAGTTTGAGTCCAGCATGGGCTATTTAGTGATTTAGCAAAACTCTGCCTCAAAATAAAATATAAAAAAGGCCGAGGGCATAAATCAGTATGAGGGTCCTGGGTTCAGTCCCCAGTATGAGGGGGCGGGGGGAGAGGGAATGAATATGAGAAAGGACAGAAAGGAGAGGGAGAGAAAGAGAGAAAAACTGATTTACACAGGCTAGAAAAATGAAGTCTCAAGAGCAAACAAGTTTAAGGATGGCTGAACACTAGTTCCCACTTGGAGAGTCACAATATATATTGACTGGGTAAAGATTTGAAGTCATCGAGCCAGGGATTTAGCCCAGTGGTTCTGCTGCCTGCCTCAAAAGCGCAAGGTCCTGAGTTTGATCCCCGGTACCAAAAAAAAAAAAACAATGCAAAAGAAGAAAAAAAGATTGGAAGTCATCTGTCCAACTTCATGGGTATTTTTTGATTGTTTCTATTTATTTATTTTAGACTGGGGCTCACTATGTGATCCAGACCAGCCTCAAACTCACTGTATGGTCCAGACTAGCCTGGAACTTGAGATCCTCCTGTCTCAGTCTCCTGAGTGCTGGAAATATAAGCATGCACTACCATGCTCAGCTCTTTGTTGTTTTTTTTGTTTTTGTTTTTGTTTGGTACCGGGGATCGGATTCAGGACCTTGTGCTTGTGAGGCAGGCAGCGGGACCACTGAGCTAAATCCCCGGCCCCCAGCTCTTTGTATTTAAACCAGTTTTTGACTGTAGGAGTGTTTTCATCCCCCTATAACATCTGTTAAAATTTCATGGAATTATACAGAATATGATGTATGCAGAAAGGTCTCCAGCACCTGTCTATAATGGCCAAGAAAAGAAAACAAAGAGAGAGGGAGAGTGAGAAGGGGGAAGGGAGAGGAAAAGGGGAAGGGAAGGGAAAGGAGGACAAAAATGTGAGCGTCTAACAGAATGATTAAACAGCCAATGGAATTTATGCATGTAGAATCATTTTTATGAAGTGTGTCTTTTTTTTAACTTGAGAAAGGCCATAGGCTATAATATTAAGTTTAAAAGAGCAAGATACAGACTATGATATAACTTGACTTTAACAAGTATAAACTTCCACAGATAAGGACTGGACGGAAAAAGACCAAAGGGTCAGCAGTGGCTGTTTTGGTGTTGTACAGTTATTGATAAGTTTGCAAACCTCATTCACCTTCCCAGTTGCAGGAGATCTGTGATATCTAGGCACCCCCATTTATTTAGCTTTTTGTTTCCAGTTCCTTGTCATGATAAATAGGCTGTAGTGAACGTCCTTTTATGTGATCTCCTTATGCATACAACCTCTTGTATTAGTCACCTTCCTTTTGGTGTGACAAAATACCCGACACACACACACACACAATTTAGAAGAGAGGAGGCTTATTTTGGATCAGTTTCAGAGGTATCAGAAATTACTAGTGGAAGGTGTGGCAGAGGACAGTTGTTCAACCTATGACAGCAAGAAAGCAGAGAGAGGGGAAAGAGCCAGAGAGAGGGGAAGGGGCCTGGGACAAGAATATACACTTCCAGGTCACACCCCCGTGACCTACTTCCTCCAACCAGGCCCCACCTCATAACAACACATTTAACTATGAGCTCATCAATGAATTAATCCACCGATGAGTGTAGCTCTTCAAAGAGCCAACCATTTTCCAAAAGCCCACCTCTGAACACATGAGATTTTTGGGGGACAGTAAAGATCTAAACCCTAACATTGTTTCTTTAGCTAGATCTTGAAAAAAATCAAACTGTAAGACATAAAACTGAGCATACATTGCCAAATGGGCCCCATAGCATTTTAAACAAAATTGGGTTAAGGAAGACATTAGAATTTTCCTTGGGAGAGACAAGTGAATAGAACAGGGCTCCCCAAACAGTACGGAAGGAGGAAGGAAGTCCCTTCTTCACTCTGCTCCCTGTGTCCTGGAAGGTAAAGCACTGGCCCCATAGTGTACACTCTGACAGGCTGAGCATCAGGCCTTCTCAGCACTGGCTGCCCAGGCTCCTGCTTTCTCACATCTTGCCACTGAAGGTCACCAGTCATACTAACAGGCATGAGGGTGAGGATGGATTGAGGGCAGGGGTACTTCAGTGTTCAGATCCTCCAGACTCAGAGCCTTGAAGTATTTAAAAGAATCTCTCAAGACCACTGATAGCAAGTCAGAAAAGAAACAATCTGGGCCTACTTGCCTGGGGAGTCATTGCATTTGCAGGCCCCTCCTTGATCTCCCACACTGTAGCAGTACAGGTCTGGTGCAATGTCTTGTGGGAAGCAGGGAGTCAAGAGCAGGACTCAGCATCCTGTGACCGTTAGGCCAAATCCACCCTGCCCCAGCCATGTTCATTTGTTTAGGTGTTGCCTGTGGAGGCTTTTGCGCAGCCAAAGTGAGTGGTTGCAACAGAGAACATAGAGCCCTTTACAGAAAAAGTGCCAACCCCAGCCTAGGTATAATTATAAATTCATAAAGCTGCTTTAGAGGTTTGTTTTTGTTTATTAGGTTTGATTCTACTTTTGAATGCAGAGCAAAGTACTCAGCAAGCCCTTTCAGGCTGCCTCACATAGCTTGGTACAATTTGCCAAGATAATAAGAAACTCAAATGCAAACAAGCAAAGTCCTCAAGCCATGGGAGAGAGTGCTGTGCAGAGGAATTAAACACTGGTGTGGGGCTGGACTTGATGAGTGTTTCAAGGGCCCTGAGAGTGGTGGGTTAAAGTCATTTTACTCAGTAAGAACTTGAAACAGTAAATTTATGGCTAATGATAGTAATTTGAAGATCCAGAAATCAGTTACTCTGTTTAAATGCTGCAACCTCATGCAAACTCACATTCTTTCATAATAGCGTACTAAGTACTCCAAAAGGCTAACAGGAGTGATGAAAGGGGTCTAATTCCACAGTGTACAGTCCTTGAATTCTAATTAACTTTGATAACAGTGTACTGTATAGGCTTCCAGGTAAGTTTAACAATTGCCTTACCTTTTGTTTCCAGCTTTGTCCTGCCAAGAAGTGACCGAGGATGAGGTCTTAGATGCCAGCTGCTTGCTGGATGTCTTGAGGATGTACAGATGGCAGATCTCTTCCTTTGAAGAACAGGTAAAGACAACATACAAACAAGCTTAGCTTGGAGATCCTTTCTCCTGGTGAGTGGGCCTGACCTTCCGCTGGAATGTACATCTCTCACATTTTAAACAAACTTACTGTTCTGGGATGAGATCCCTACCTTTCTTCTTGCTCTCATGATCAGAGAGAATGTACAGCTCTTTGTCACCCAGTGAAAGGAAGGTTAGCAGGATGGGACATAAACAATTGTCAGCGAACATTTTTTCAGTTCCCAAGTGACTTTGCACTTTGGTGGCTGATAAGGATGTCTGGTGGGTCCTTTAGAAAGAGGCAAGTAACTTTACTTTGGTGCCTCAGAGATTCAGTAAAACTATTTTTGGGCTCACTCTCCTTTTTAAAAAGTGAGTCTTGGGCTGGGGATTTAGGTCAATGGTTCCACCGCCTGCTTTGTAAGCGCAAGGTCCCGAGTTCGATTCCCGGTACCAAAAAAAAAAAGTGAGTCTTGGTGGCACCTGTAAGGCCAGCACTCCGGAGGCTGAGGCCCGAGGATCATGAGTTCAAGGCCAGCTTGGGTAGGCTACATAGTGAGTTCAAGGTTAGCCTGGACTACTGGCAAGACCCTGTCTGAAAAGAAAAAAACCCCAGTCAGTTTTAAGAGGTTGGCTTAAAGTGGCCCCAAAGTTGGAGCAATTGTCACATGCAGCCCCATAGCTTCAGTTTCACTGCTGTTTTTGGAGCCCAGAGAGGGCGGTGCTTCGCTCCTCCTCCCAGTCCACTAGGACCAAGAGCAAGGAGGCCAGCAGGGGGAAGCTCCAGGCTGAGAAATGTTAGCTTTACTGGCACACTCCCCAGCCATGTTTCTTAGATGGCCTTGTCCTGCTTCTGCTGCCACTGTCCAGACACTAGAAGAGAGAATGGAGCGGGTGGCAGCTTTTAGGACCTCCCCAAACTGTGGGACTGGAGTGAGAGGCATTTAAAAAACATGACAAGGAAGCTGATAAGGCTTCCTGGTCAACCTTCCCCTTTGTATTGTTTGGTATTGGATATTAAACATAGGGCCTTGCACATGCTAGGCAAGCACTCTACCACTGAGCTACATCTTTGGTACTTTTTAAAAATTTTTTATTTTGAGACAAGGTCTCACTAAGTTGAGATAGGCTGGCCTGTTCTGAACTTGGGATCCTCTTGCCTCAGTTTCCTGAGTAGCTAGGATCACAGGGATGTGCCATTGTGCCCAACCTAACTCTCCTTATTTTAAGAATCATCTCTTGTTTCCACATTAATCTGAAGCCGTGTGTTCATTTTTAAACACAATGTTGCTGATATCCACACTTTCTTAAAATGCATCTCAATTAATCCAATTGTGTGTTTAAGTGTTTTCCCATTTAGAAAATACTTTTTAGTCTTTCTCTGGTGACTAGAATTATTTGACTACATTGTACATTTAAAAATTGTTAAGATGGTGAATTTTATGTTATGTATATATTACCATGACTTTTTAAAATTGCCTCTTTGAAGTCCAGTGGAATGGAGGAATGGAGGTCAGGGCCATCTCAGGTAAGCTGACAGCCTCAGAGACCAGTCGCATGAAGACAGCCATCTGCTTTCTTTCCTTCTTGCTCCTCTTGGGCCCTTGAGTTGAGGGTCTTACTTGTGAAAATCTCTAGTGTGACAACAGTTCCCAATCAACAGGAAGGGCCCTGAGAATGTAGAAAGGCAAACTGTCCCTATTAGCCTTTAGGTTGGGAGGAGGTTTGCCAGATGGGTCACTAGGCAGTGGTTCCAATCCTGCCCTTGCCTCATCGAGCCTTTCTGAGGAATTCTTTGCCCGTTTACAGGATGCTCATGAATTATTCCACGTCATTACCTCATCCCTGGAAGATGAGCGAGATCATCAACCACGGGTCACACATTTGTTCGATGTCCATTCCCTGGAGGTAAACCATTAATATTTTCAAATATACTTCATCCAGTTTAAGCATATTTAATAAGTATAGGAAACACAAATAGTAGCTTCATACAACCTTAAACACAAAAATGTAAGATCTAATGAAAGTCGGGAGTGGGAATAAGGATGGGGAGGGTCCTGAACTACATACTTTGCAGTTGGTACCTCTGTGATGCCACCCTCTTGAAAATGATCTGTTGCTACAATTCATGCTGGCTTTGAAAAGAAAGAATGTATTATTTTCTCCTGTTTAATAGAGGAAATAAGGGGTCTTAGAATTGCTAACTGGGTCCTCATTTTCCTATAACAGTGAAATATTTAGGGAGTTGATAAAAGTTAACCAGTAAAGGGGGAAAAATATTCTGAAGAAAAACATGTTTCAATTGCATTTGGCAAAAGAATATGCATAGTAACCAACCAAACAGAATAATTAGAACTACTTTTTGAAACGTGGGGTTTGTGGGAAGTTGATTTTGATGGTGCAATCAGCACAAAAACTTGTAAGATTTTGGGAGTGGTGAGGGTGATAAACGATTGCAGTAGGGTTTTCAGCCTGTTTCTCTTTTTTCCCCTACAGCAGCAGTCAGAAATAACTCCCAAACAAATAACCTGCCGCACAAGAGGTAGTTGTTTTCCACTGAAATGTAACAAATAAGATATGTGCTTTTTCAATATGACAATAATTTTCTTGTTTTTAAAAGCTTTATTATCTTTCCTCATGACACAGTCTGAACTGTGATGTACTTGCAAAGGGACTTGTGTTTTGGAAACAGTGTAAAATGGCTTTCTTGGTGTTTCCTCACCAGATATACTTACTTAACACAGAGGTTTACTTCAAATAAGGGTTTTCTTTTTATCTCCTTGAATTTCGTATCCTAGCTTACTCAGTAAGCTGAATCTGTTTCATCCTCAGCGTTTCCACTTTGGGCAACCTTTACTGCAAATTATCACAGTTCTCTAGAAATCCCTGTTTTCTAAGCACTTAAAAAATAAAATTGACACACCAGTTCCTTTGTGCCTCGGTAGTAATAGGAAGACATATTTTTCAAGCCCATATTGTATTCAAGGTATTGCAGTTCCTCACCTAAGCTTCACAACAACTCTGTGAAGTTGGTGATATTGGAGACATTGGAATAATAATTATCCTGGTTTCCAGCAAACAGAACATACAGAGATAAAGGACTTCCATGTTACCTAGCTAACAAGAAGCAGACCTCGCTGGGGATGTAGCTCTGCGCCACCGAGCCTGCCTCCCAAGCACAAGGTCCAGAGTTCGATCCCTGGTACAAAAAAAAAGTACCCAAAAATAGGGTAGCAAAAAAAAAAAAACCAGCAATAGGAAACAGGAGATTGATCTGGGGGCTGGGGATTTAGCTCAGTGGCACCGTGCCTGCCTGGAAAGCTCAAGGTCCTGACTCTGATCCTCAGTACAGCAAAATAATAATAATAATAATAATAATAATAATAAATAAAATAAAATAAATTTTTTAAAAAAGAAGAAGAAGCAGAGCCAGGACTCAGTCCAGGACTGCCTGACTTCAGAGCCCTTGTTTCTCACTAATGTTTTGTTTACTCAGCCCCATTCTCAACCTGAGAACATCCCAGTTCTTCAGCACTTGCTTGTTCTGGTCATTTCAGAAATGGATCTCACTTAACAGTGGTATCCTTCTTTTGAGTTCTCTAACATTTTAAGCATATATTTATAAAAAGATGTTATTAAACACAGTTTCCTTTTTTAAAGTGTAGCTGTATTCATTATCTGGAAATCACATGTAAAGTTCTGTAGAAATTCTATGAAGGAATAGGGTGTCTATTTGATGGAAGTCAGTAAGGAAAGTTCTTTCTATATACTTTTCAAGAACAGTTTCTACTGCATACTAAAAAGAAGGGAGAAGTTTGAAGTTGATGCTAAAGGACTAAAAATGTCGTATCAGAAGATGTTTTGCATTCCAGGGTCTCCTCATCCCACGTCCGATCACTGGAAGTCTCAACACCCATTTCATGGAAGACTTACTAGTAATATGGTCTGCAAACACTGTGAACACCAGGTAAATACATTTCCTATCCTTGATATCTCCTGATGAGATTTTCTTTGAAATTAAGATTCATGAAATTTTGTGATTGCCTGGGCTCTAGACACACACACACACACACTGCATTCTCTTCTCATTCTCTCCTCTTCCCAGCCCCTGTAAGCTTTGCCTGTTCTGGATATTTCCTACAAATGGAGTCACTCATACCATAGGTGTCCTTTTGTGTCTGTTTTTTTTTCACTTCACGTAATATTTTCAAGGTGCTCACATATTTTGGCATGTACTTCCTGTTTATAACCAAGTAATATTGAGTTGCATAGATGAACCACATGTTTATCCATCTGCTCATCAGTTGATAGGCATTTGGATCATTTCCTCTTTTGGGGGAATTATTTACAAGGTTTTGTGTACACATTTTTCTGTGGGCATACATTTTCATTTCGGTTGGGTATATACCTAGGAGGAGAATTGCTACCTCATGTAATAACTGCATTTAACCTTCTGAGGGACTGCCAGACTATCTTCCAAAATGGTGGTTTCTCCATAGCCTTCCCAACACTTATACTGTCTGACTTTTTGATTCTGGCCAGTCTTGTAGTGATAAAGTGGTATCTCATTGTAGGATTTATCCCTAAATTATTGAGATATAATTGACCAATAAAAATTGTATATATTTAAGGTATACAAAGTGATGATTTTATATACACTGTGAAAATTTTACCACAATCAAGCTAATTAACATATTCATCTTCTCATAGTTACTTTATGTGTGTGCCCACATGCATGTGGTGAGAACAGTTAAGATCTACTCTCTTAGCAGGTTTCAGGTGTACAATGCAGTATTATTAACTGTAGTCATCATGTTGTATGCTAGATTGCCAGAACTTATTCATCTTATCACTGAAGGCCCCACCTTGGCAGTCATCATTCTATTCTCTGCTTCTGTGAGTTCGACTTTTCTAGATTCACATTTAAGTGCAATCATGTGGTATGTGTCTTTCTCTGTCTGGATTACTTAATTTGGATATGTTACCTTCCAGGTTCATCCATTTTTGTCATAAATGGCAGGATTTCCTCTTTCAATGGCCAAATAATATTCCATTGTGTATACATCTGTGTCTATATCAATGTATATAAATGTATATGTATAGTATCTCTACGTATATATGTTTCTCTCTCCATATATACATGTATCTATCTATCTATCTATCTATCTATCTATCTATCTATTTATTTATTTATTTATTGGTACCGGGGATTGAACTCTGGTCCTTGCGCTTGCGTAGCAGGCAGCGAAACCACTGAGCTAAATCCCCGGCCCAATCTATTTATTTTTTGACAGACACTTAGGTTGTTTGTTTATCTTGGCTGTTGTGAATAATGCTGAGGTTTGGATTTCACCTCCTTCAGGTATATTCCCGGAAGAGGGAATGCTAGGTTATACACTAATTTTTCTTTTTTGTGTGTGTTTGGGGTTGATACTGGGAATTGAACTCAGGACCTTCATGCTGAACTATATCCCTACCCCATTTTATTTTATTTTATTTTTTATTTCATTTCATTTTTTTAGAAATTTGAGACAGGGTCTTGCTGAGTTGCTAAATTCTCCAGGGTGGTCTTCAATTTGGGATCCTCCTGCCTCTGCCTCCTGGAGTTCTGGGATTAAGGAATGTATTACCACACCCAGCTAAGTGGAAACTCTTATACATTGTTGATGAGGATGCAAATTGGTATAGTCATTGTGGAAAACAGTACGGAGATTCTTCAAAAAATTAAAAAGAGAGTCAGGCATGGTGATACATACCTATAGTCCTAGCACTCTAGGAGGATGAGGCAGAAGGATTGCGAGTTTGAGCCTAGCCTGGGTAACTTAATAACTTAGTGAGATCCTGTTTCAAAATAAAAAAAATAAAAATGGGCTAGGGGATGTAGTTCAGTGAGAAGAATCTGGATTCAATCTCCAATACCCCCCCCCCACAAAATTCCCTTTTCTTCACACTCTTTCCAACATTTGTTATTTCTTGTCTTTTTTTAGTAATAGCCCTCCAAACATGTGGGTGATACTTCACTGGGTTTTGATTTGCATTTCCCCTGTGATTAGTGATTTGAAAACTTCCTGTGCTCGTTCGTATGTCTTCCTCGGAAAAATGCCTTTTCAGATCCTCTGTCTAATTTTTAATAGTTTTTTTTTATTTTTTGCAGGGGGAGAAGTTTTTGCTGTTGATTTGTATGAGTTCCTTCTATATTTTAGATATTAATCCACATATATATATATATATATATATATATATAGTTTGCAAATATTTTCTTCCATTCCCAGTTTCCTTTTTTTGTTTTTTCATTTGCTATCTCATTTTGGTTGGCATTATCCTGATGATTAATGTATGTGGAATTAAAAAAAATAAAGTTCATATCATACATTACAATTACTTAATATTCTTACATATCTTTCATTTTTATTTTATTTTATTTTATTTTTTTTAAGACAGGGTCTCACTTTGTAGTTCAGGCTAGCTCTGAATTCACTATTGTACCCCAGGCTGGCCTGGAACTCAACAACAATCCTCCTGCCTCAGCCTCCTGAGTGCTGGGATAACAGGCATGCACCACCACACCCAGCTCTTATGTCCATCATCTCTTATTTTTTCTTTGTACTTTATTTATATTTTGAAGGTATATGTGGAATTAAAATGTTTTTATTTTCTGACTATATACTACTAGTTTATAGAAATAGGTTTTATTTCTCAAACTTGCTTGCAAAAATTTATTCATTAGTTCTAGAAGTCTTATTGTAGATTGTAAATAATCATATCTGAATAGGAATAATTTTAGTTTGTTCCCTTCTTTCTTTCTTTTATTTATTTTTTTGCCTTATACCCTCAGTGGCACCTCTGGTGCCAAGGTAAGTAAGAATAGTGATGGCAGACATCTTTGTTTTGTTTTAAATCTTATGATGCAGGTACCAGGTGTTTCATAATTAAGTATGGTATTAGCTTTTGGTTTTAGTATACTCTTCTATTGAGAAGTTTCCCTTCTGTTCCTAGTTTGCTGAGAGTTTTTATGATGAATCGTGATTGAATCTTGTCATGCATTTTCTGTATCTATTGAGATGATCATATTTTATCATTTTATCTTGTTAATGTGCTAACTTATAGTTTTTTTTTCTAATATTAAATCAGCCTTGCATTTCTGAGGTAAACCTCTTTATGGTGTATTAGTGGGGTTTTTTTGTATTATTGGATTTGATTTGCTAAGATTTTCTAAAGGATATTAGTCATGATTATGAGGATATTGGCCTTACAGTTTTCTTTTGTAATGTCTTTGTCAGGCTTTGCTATGAGGATTGTGCTAGGCTTATGAAATAATCTAGGAAGTGTTCCCTCCTCTGTTTCCTGAAAGATTTTGTTTAATATTGGTGTTATTTCTTCCTTAAGTACTTGCTGGAATTTGTTTGTTTCTTCTGTCTTTTTTCTTTTTAAGTTTTGGATTGAATTTAAGTACATATGCTATAATGAGTTGACTTTTGTCATGATAAAATGTCTTTCTTCATCTCTGATTCAAACCTATTTGAATGATTTTGTTTTCATTAAGTAGTAGTTCTTTGGTTTATCCTCCTCCCCCTCTTCTTCTTTTTCTTTGGCAATACTGAGGATTGAACCCAATGCCTCATGCATGCTCAGTAAGTACTCTACCACTGAGCATATCCTTAGCCCTTTTTTTTTTTTTTTTTTTAGTTTGAGACAGTATCTCACTAAGTTGCCCAGGCTGACCTTGAATTTGTTATCCTGCTGCCTCAGCCTCATGAGTAGCTAGGATTACAGGCATGCACCACCAGGCCTGACCTACTCCCTTTTTTTCTTGTTTTTTTATCCTTCACCACCAGGTGCTAGAGATTGAACCCAGGAGCACTCTACCACTGAGCTATATCCCCAGTCCTTTATTTTGAGACAGGATCTCACTAAATCACTAAATTGCCCAGGCTGGGCTCGAAATTTTGATCTTCCTGCCTCAGTCTCTCTCAGTGCTGGGATTGCACCCAAAGTCACCATACCTGGCTCTTTTTATTTTTGAGCTGTCTTTGTATTTAAAGTAGATAGCATATAATGGGGTCTTTTTTCTATCCATCTTGGCAATCTGCCTTTTAATTGGAATGTTTAGTCCATTTACATTTAATGTAAGCATTTATAAGATCTAACTTAGAGAGCCGGGGATTTAGCTCAGTGGTTCCGCCACCTGCCTCGCAAGCACAAGGTCCTGAGTTTGATCCCTGGTACCAAAAAAAAAAAAATTACGTTATATGATCTAACTTAGGTTCACCATTTTACCATTTGTTTTCTATTTATCATGTATATTTTTTGTTCTTCTGTTCCTCATTTCCTTGCTTCTTTTGTCTTAATCAAATACTTTTAGTATTCTGTTGTAATTCCTTTATTGGCCTTTTATTTATACATTTTTACTAGTTGTCTGTGCATGTGTATATGATTACATCATGTGATTTTACCATACTGTAGTCTATATAGAGCTGATTTAGAGTACTACGCTTGGCCTAGAGTTGATTTATATACCTTGATGTAAGGTACTGGAATGTAATAAAAGTTTAATTCTGTTACCCAGACTTTGTGCTATTTTTATCATATAGATTAGATCTATGTACATTTTATATACATATACCATATTGTGTTATGACTTGCTTTAAATAGTTGTGTATGTTTTCAAGGAATTAAAAGATATTTTAAATTTACCATTTTTTTTCAGTTTACCATGTTTAGTTTTCTTCAGTCTTCTTATAGATCTAAGTCCATATGATGTTTTTTCCCATTAGCCTAAAAAGTTCCATTAACATTTTTGTAGGTCTGCTTGTGACAGATACACTTATATTTCATTTCTATGAAAATATTGTTTTGTTGGACATGGAGGCGCTCTCCTGTAACTGCAACATTTGGGAAGCTGAGGGAGGAGGATTGTTGCAAATTCAAGGCCAGCCTGGACTGTATAGTGAGTTTAAGATCAGCCTGAACTGCATAATGAGATTCTGTCTCAAAATAAACAAAAAACATAAAAATATTGTTATTTTGCCTTGAGTTTTTTGTTTGTTTTGTTTTTGTTTTTGTTTTTGTTTGAGACCGGGTCTCACTATGTAGTTCAGGCTGGCCTTGAACTCACTGCATAGCCCTGGCTGGGCATGAACTCGTGGCTGATACTAAAAATGTATGCCACCGTGTCTGGCTCTACCCTGACATTTGAAGACTAATTTCTTCCTTGAGTCAGCATTTCACTATGTATTTTAGGCTGATCTTGAACTCACTGTGTAGCTCAGGCTGACCTTGAACTGGTAGATATTTTCCTGCCCCAGCCTCCCGAGTGCTGGGATTATAGGTGTCCACCACCACATCCAATCCAAGAATAATTTTGCTATAATTTATACAGAATTTGGGATTGATAGTGTTGTTGTTGTGTTGCTTTGGTTTTAAATTCATTATTTTAAGGACAACATTTGGTTTTCTTCTGGTCTGTATTTTTCAAAACTATGTCATAAAGAAATAGATCTGTATATGAAGTATCATTTTTTACTCTGCTTATAACATTTTCTCTTTATTTATTTATTTTTGGTACCAGGGATCAAACTCAGGACCTTGCGATTGCTAGGCAGGTGGCGGAACCACTGAGCTAAATCCCCGGCAATTTTCCTCTCTATTTTGTCCATCCTGTCCATATAAAGTTTTCTTGTATTTATCCTGCATGGGGTTTAATGGTTTCTGAAGTCTGTATATGTTTTCATCAACTTCAGAAATTTTGTGGCCATTAATTTTTCAAAAATGACTTTATGCCTGTTCTCTACTTACTACTCCACTGATGTTTGTTTCACTGTCACTGATTCCTTATTCATTTTGCCTCAGTCTTTTTCCTCTATCTTCTTCAAACTATCTTCTTCAAACTGTCATCTTCAAGTTTTTCCATCTCCAATCTCTGCCCATTAAGCAGGTTTTTCACTTTAATTATCATTCTTTTTAGTTGTAAAATTTCTTTCTTTCTTTTTTTTTTGTGTGTGTGTGTGGTATTGGTGATTGGACCCAGCACCTTTGTACTGAGCTACATGCCCAGCCCTTTTTATTTTTTATTTTGAGACAGGGTCTCACTATGTTGCCTAGGCTGGGCTTGAACTTGTGATTCACCTGCCTCAGCCTTCCTGAGTGCTGGGATTATAGGTGTGTGCCACCACACACAGCTTCCACTTTCTTTCTTTTTTTTTTTTTTGGTACTGGGGATCAAACTTGGGTCCTTGCACTTGCACAGCAGGGGGCAAAACCACTGAGCTAAATCCCCGGCTCCCCACTTTCTTCTTTTTAATAATTTCTGTACTAAAATCCTCCATTTGTTCCTTCAGTATCACTACATATTTTCCTCTCTGTCCTTGACTGTATTTGTAACACATCTATGAGAATGGGCTGGAGATTTAGCTCAGTGGTTTTGGCACCTACCTGGCAAGCACAAGGTCCTGAGTTTGATCCGCGTACCAAAAAACCAAAAACCAAAAAATAAAAATTTCCAATCATGTAATACATCTATGAGGGCCTTGTGTGCTAATTCTACCATCTACATAATCTCTCACTTCACCTTGGGTCACATTTTCCTCTCTCTTTGTAGTGCATATCTGTTTTTTATTTGGATATTCAGCATCTTAATAGAGTCTTTGTATTCTGGTACATTTCTCTGAAGGAAGATGAATTTTGTTCTGGCTAGCAGTTAATTTGGGAGGGTTCAAATTCCACATTCTGTTTCCCTCTCCTTGGGCTGCACCAGTCTCTGCTCCGTTGTCTTAGCTTCCAGCTGCTGCACATTGGCAGGCCCCTGGAGTCCGCCCTGTGCATGTGTGGTTGGTGGTTCACCCTGGAATTGGGTGCAGTCTGTATGCAGAGTTGGCAGCTCATCCTCTCTGTGGCTCCCTCTCTCTGGGATTTCCCTGAGTCTTTCTCTCATAACTCAGTCCCATAACATTGCTGCTTTTTGCTACCTGTTCTGCATAAACTGAATAAAAATGTCACAAATGGGAAAATTTCATTTACGGAATTTCTGTTTTTCTGAGTTGACTTCCTTTTAGTTTTTGCCTTCTTCTGGTATTCTCCAGTCATTCAAATAGTTTTTGTTTTGGTCCAGAATTTGCAACTGTTATCTCAAGGGAGGGTAAGTCTAGCTAGGCTACCCTGCCATTACCAAAAATAGGAATGCTTACCCTATTTTATCATCTACTTTTTTTTTTAATATCACCTACTTTTTTGTTGTTGTTAGTTAGTAGTAAAACATGAATACTTCTCCACATAACCACACATCCTACTACTATATTATTTTTAGTATACTATTTCTTTCTCTTTTTCTTTCTCCTTCCCCTTCCCCTTCTCCTTTTTTTTCCCCCCTTGACTGGGACAGGGTTTTAAGTTGCTAAGTTGCTCAGCCTAGGCTCAAACTTACATCCTCCTGCATCAGTCTCCCAGACTGTTAGAATTACAAGTGTGCACTACTGTGGCTGGCTTATACTATTTCATTCTGTGGACATGCTATAGCATATTTAATCACTCCCTAGAGGTTTCTTTGGTTTTTACCCCCTGCTGGGCATTGCACCCATGACCTTAACACTGTTACCCTGCCCTTTTTTATTTTTTAGTTTTGAGAGAAAGTCTTACAGAGTTGCTAAGTTCTCCAAGCTGAGCTCAAATTTTTTTTTTTTTTTGGTACTGGGGATCAAACTCGGGACCTTGCGCTTGTGAGGCAGGTGCCAGAACCACTTAGCTAAGCCCCCAGCCCTAAGCTCAAATTTTTGATCCTCCTGCCTCAGCCCTCCTGGAATCCTAGGATTTCAGGCATGTGCCACCATGCCCAGCTTCAGCTATGCAAATTTTTGTTGTTATGAATAACACCATGATTAAAATCCCCGTAGTTGTGCTCATAGTTATTTCTGCAGCATACGATCTTAAAATTGTTGGGTCAGGTCTGCAATCTTACAGTCTTTCCAAGCTATTCTTTACTGTTATTGGAGCTATTAAGTTTATAAAATTGTTTCTAATAGAATTTTCATCTAAGTACTTTATGTTTTACTATGTTAATGTGAGCATCTAAATATTAAACCATCTCATAGGCATATATCTTCCATCAATTGAATTGATCCTAAGTCCTTTCTGAATTTTCTGCAATATTTGTTTCAGAGTCCTGTTCGATTTGATACCTTTGATAGCCTTTCACTAAGTATTCCAGCTGCCACTTGGGTATGTACTGATCTACATTTATTCAGGGTCTGTTTTGAAAATATTTCAGTCTGGAAGGGCTTTGAGGCCTTTCTTGGGCCTTAGACACCATATGTTATTCAGATACATGGTTCATTGAACTCCTTGAACTTTAATGTGGGATAACAGGGCCTGTTATAGGGAGGGGTAGGTGGATGGTTTTCATTCTGGTGTATAAATTTTGACTTTTTGGAAACATACAGACACCCCTCAAATTCAAAAATATCTAAAACGATGTGGAAGCCTATAATTTTCTACATTACATCCTCTTATTCTTGAATCTCTCAGTAGTTGCAGTGTAGAGTGCTTTGAGTTCCACCTTTGTTCACAAAACACCTAGTTTTGCAGAGCTTTATTGACCACCTGTACCAAAATAAAGCTCTGGCATTCCCTTGCCACCTGCTAATAGTCACCTTTGAATTGTTCCGATTTCCCTCTTCTCTGCAGGGTCATCCATTGACCCTGGACCACTGCCTTCACCACTTCATCTCATCGGAGTCTGTGCGGGATGTTGTATGTGACAACTGTACAAAGGTACGCCTGTGTCATCTCCCTGCCAGCTGGCCTCTGTGCCTCTGTAGTGTCCTCATGCCTATGGCCCTGAGCTCCTCCTACTGCCTATATACAGTGGATCTTTTCAGCCACCGCCATTTCCACCTGACTTGGCTTGGAAAGCAGCTGCCCATGGAGTTTTGTTTCCCAGATGAGTTTCGTTTCATTGAATGTTATAAAAAAAAAGAATGTCATGCCTGCAGTAGGGACATGCCCTTTCCACTTTGCTGTGGTCCTCTCCATCCCTGTTTCTCTCATATCCTGCCCTTTTCACCTATGCTGCCTGCTTGCAGCCCCCATACAACTGAATTTCACCCTCTGAATCAAGAGGAACTGTGTGGACAGAATTCTGAATTCTGAAGACAGACAAAAAAATAGATTATATGCCAGTATCAGAATTCCAGTGTTGATTCTTTTTCTATTCTGTTCATGGTACTGATATTTAAGGATTAAGGGGGATCCATGAAAATATCACAGGTAACTAGGGAGCTGAGTTGATTTCAGCTGGTAGCAGTCAACAGGTTTGCAGGCATTAAAACCAGCTTGATCTGCTGCTTGCCATAGATGTCCTGTTCTAGGGATTTCTTTTTTTTAAATTAGTACATTTATTTCAACATGTGTTCTATAGTGCAGAAATCTTTATTTATTTTTTCCCCTGGTCCTGGGAATTGAACTCAGGACCTTGCACTTGTCAGGCAAGTGAGGCACCACTGAGCTAAATCCCCAGCCCTGTTTTAGGGATTTCTGCAGAGAAATGTTGGTTTTCTTGCAGATTGAAGCAAAAGGAACATTGAACAGGGAAAAAGTGGAACACCAGAGGACCACATTTGTTAAACAGTTAAAACTAGGGAAGGTGAGTCCATGCCACATACTTGCCTGACTTTGCTTTTGAGAGATCCATGTGTGTCGCTCTTGAAACATCTCAGCTCTGTGCCGTTCCTCCCTCGCAGCTCCCTCAGTGCCTGTGCATCCACCTCCAGCGGCTGAGCTGGTCCAGCCATGGCACGCCTCTGAAGCGGCATGAACACGTCCAGTTCAATGAGTTCCTGATGATGGACATCTACAAGTACCGTCTCCTGGGACATAAACCCAGTTGGCACAACCCTAAACTGAGTGAGAACTCAGGGCCTGTGCTGGAACTGCAGGATGGGCCGTCAGCCCCCAAACCAGGTGTGCACCTAAGGACAGACATGGGCCCACAGAGAAGGAATTTGGCATCACCACCTTCTGGGTCCTTTATGACATGAACTCAAGGCTTATGCAGTGGTTGCTTAAATTCTTTTATTTAAATTGGTATATGTTTGCAATACATAATATTCATATCCATTTGGGGGAATTGATATATATATATATATATTGGTATATGTAATTGAATATATATATATATATGACATATATTGATCATTTTCGATCCTCTTCCTCCCCCTGTTCTTAAGAACATTAGGATTAGGGGTGGAAGAGGGAAGATTTCTTTTCTTTTGTGATACTGAGGATGAACCCAGGACCTCACATGTGCTAGGCATGTGCTCTACTACTGAACTATATCCCCATTCTTCATTACTGTATAATTTTAATCTCCTTAAGAAATCTTGGAACCTGGCATGGAAGTGCATGGCTGTAATCCCAGTACTCTGGGAGGCTGAGGCAGGAGGGTCACAAGTGTGAGTCCAGTTTGGGCAACTTAGTTACTTGGTGAGACTTTGCCTCAAAATAAAAAAATAATAAAAATGGCTGGGGATGTAGCTCAGTGTGAAGGCCTGGGATTCAATCCCTTATACCCTCTTCCCCCGCGACACACACTCAAGAAAAGAAGGGAGAGAGAGACAAATGGAGGGAAGAAGGAAACAGGTTGGGGGAGGGTAGCTCAGCGGTAGAGTCCTTGCCTAGCATGTGTGAGGCCCTGGGTTCCATCCCCAGCACAGCGATAAAATTATACAATATTGAGATACATAGTTTAAAAAACTATTACAGAGGGGCCGGGGATTTAGCTCAGTGGTTCCATCACCTGCCCTACAAGCAAGCAAGGACCCAAGTTCGATCCCTGGTACAAAAAAAACAAAAAACAAAAACAAACTACGGATGAAAAAGTTTTGGGAAAAAAGCTCAAGATTTCAGTCTTGCTTTTTGATCTTTTGACTAAACAACAATTGCCTCACATCATTCCAGTGAATTCTTTTCCTTTCTCTTCTTTTCACTTGCATACAGTCATCTCATTTATACAAGAAATACAGGGAGAAAATGTCCTGCTGACAGTCACTGAACATCTTATTGGGTTGATCTGACTTTTTTTTTGGTACTGGGGATCCCACTTGGGTCCTTGCACTTGCGAGGGGAAAGAGGTGGAACCACTGAGCTAAATCCCCGGCCCTGATATGACTTCTTTAATGAATTATTTATTTAGCTCATTCTATTACTGTCCTCGGCTGAGGTTACTTGTGGATGGGGTCCAAGTTAGGCAAAGTAGCTATTATTACTCTCAGTGATGCTGATGAGAAAAGTGAGGCTCTGTGTGGTGAAATGATTGGTCCAAAGGCAAATAGCAAATGGCAGCACTGGCCTAGAATGTGGTGTTTGGTCAGGCATGGTGGCACACGCCTGTAATCGCAGAACTTGGGAGGGTGAGGCAGGAGGATCTTCATGAGTTCGAGGCCAGCCTGGGCTACATAGTGAGTTCAAGGCCAGCCTGAACTGCATAGCAAGACCCTGTCTCAAAAAAGAAGAATGTGGTGTTTGGCAGTTTTCTGAAGATATCTTATGTGGCACGTTGAGTACTTTTGAGTCACAGATAACTGACCTGTAGGCTCCAGACCTGACCTCACCACCTGCCCACTGCCCCCAAGGAAGTCAAGACTGTCTTCCTGGACCCCATACTTTCCTGACTCTATGACCCTTACTCCTTTTCTTCTTTACAACTATAACTGGATGACCTGGCAAAACATCCTTTCAGGGAGACTGCGTTTTGGTCTTTCTCACCAGGTCACTAGATGGACATCAGGAACAGCTAAGGTAGGGAACCAGCTCAGTCTTTAGCTGTTGTTTTCAATCAAGGCTCTCTTCGCCTTGGCCTCCTCCTCTACAGGCTTGGGTGCAGGTCGGCTGTGTTAAGAGCATGGTGGCTACAGTTGAAGATGACAACAGTGAACTACATAGTACATAGAAGCCCCCAAATATAACACCTGAAGTGATGTAAATGCCACCTTCATTATTTTACCCACACTCATAAACATTTGTTAGTGCTTTACACTGGGGGTCTCCCTTAGAAGCTGACAGAATAAAAGAAAAGAGTGTGTAGATCATTGACTCAACACAGAGCAACAAGGCATATTGAGCAATTGGTTGTCATCACTAGGTGAAGGGTGGCTGGCATCTAGCAGGTAGAGGTTAGAGATGCTACAAACCCTGCAGAATGCACAGCATACACCTCCACAGCGAGGAATTAGCCCAAAATGTTAACAGTGCCAGAGTTGAGAAACCTTGGTGTAGGTGAGAAGCCAGTCAACTAATATTGCTTAACTTTGATGCATGTCCTTAGCAAATGGGGATTGTATGCTCAAAGATTCAGAGTTGTCAAGACTAGCAGTAGATCTGGTGCTAGGTATGCTGACAAATAGGTGGGAAATTTTATGAATCAATGTAATATAAAATGAGATGTACTTTTCTTTGTATCATTATTGGGAGTTCATTTTCAAGGTAATCAAAGCCTAAAGTCCCTGCTAATTTTCATCAACTTGGGCGTTTTTTCTCTTGCAGTTCTGAATCAGCCAGGGGCCCCCAAGACACAACTTTTTATGAATGGCGCCTGTTCCCCATCTTTATTGCCAACCCTGACACCTGTGATGCCCTTCCCTCTCCCAGCTGTTCCTGACTACAGGTGAGTTGTTCTTTTTTTTTTTGGTAAAAAAAATCTCACCCAGCCCCAGGTGAGTTGTTCTTCTAAGTGACACATTCTTTGTTCCCTGTGGACTGCTGCCTCACTTAGTTTTTGAAATGTTTTTCCTTGAAATAAATTAATGAAGAGGTAAAGATTAATTTTTTTCCTGGTAATGGGGATCAAACTCAGGACCTTGCACTTGCCAGGCAGATGCGGTGCTGCTGAAAATCCCAGGCCAAAGATTAATTTTTCTTTCTTTTTTTTTTTGTACCGGGGATCAAACTCGGGTCCTTGCGCTTGTGAGGCAGGCGGCGGAACCACTGAGCTAAATCCCCGGCCCCTAAAGATTTATTTTTAAATGTCATTTTAAGTTGGAATTTCACTGTTGATTATACATTCCCATTTTTGTTCAAAATGGAAATCATTTTAAAAAAAACAGGGCCGGGGATTTAGCTCAGTGGTTCTGGTGCCTGCCTCACAAGCTCAAGGTCCTGAGGTAGATCCCCAGTACCAAAAATAAATAAATAAATAAATAAATAAATAAATAAATAAATAGAATTATAAAGGTACATAAAATTTATGTATATACATGCATGAGTGATAAATATGTAGGTATAAAGTACAAAGAAAATTTTAAATTTCTGGGAATACCATCTAGATACTAATTAATATGCATACACATATTCTACACACATTACAAATATACACATAATCACTTGATACAGGCATCCATATATACACAAATTACATATGTACTCAGAGACTAGACATCCTGCCTTACCAATAAATACAGATCTGTGTTTCTTTTTATGTTTTTTTATTTTTTTAAATTTATTTTTATTTTTATTTTTGGTACTGGGGATTGAACTCAGGACCTTGAGCTTTCGAGGTGGGTGCTGGAACCACTGAGCTAAATCCCCAGCCCTACAGATCTGTGTTTCAGTGGTTGTATAGTATTCAGTTGGTACGGGCATACAGTGGACCCTTGGGTTACAACCAGCCTGACAAATAAACAACTTGGGTTATGACTGGAATTTTAGTTTTAACTTATGACCAAAGTCTTGAGTTACGACCTGAATGCCAGCCACTTGTGCTTCCAGATGGTCTGAGATACAGATTTAACCCTTAAAGAGTTCTGGAGGGAACATTACAACATCCTTTCCTGTGTGGGGTTAACTGAGAAATCCTGGCCCAGTGTCTCTCTAAGTACACTGAGATCTGCCTGGAAGAAAGTGCGGCCTAAAATTATACAGGAGAGGGTCGGGGATTTAGCTCAGTGGTTCTGTCGTCTGTCTTGCAAGCACAAGGACCTGAGTTCGATCCCCGGTACCAAAACAAACAATAAAATAAATAAAATAAAATTATATAGGAGAGAGACTTTGAGGGCTGTGTGGAGGACCCTGAGCCTTCAATTGACCAACATGAGTTATAGCCAGTCCTCACGAACAAATTGAGTCTGTAGTCAAGGGTCCACTGTGCTGTTGTACCAATCCCTTAATGTTTAACATCTAGAATTCTCTTTTTTTTTTTTTTTTTTATGAGGCCTCCTTCTATTTATAAGCACCTCAAATTTGTTCCCATTGTTCAGCTCCTCCACATACCTTTTTCGGCTGATGGCCGTTGTCGTCCACCATGGAGACATGCACTCTGGACACTTTGTCACTTACCGACGGTCCCCGCCTTCGACCAAGAACCCTCTCTCCACCAGCAACCAGTGGCTGTGGATTTCAGATGACACTGTCCGAAAAGCCAGCCTACAGGAGGTCCTGTCTTCCAGTGCTTACCTGCTGTTCTATGAACGGGTTCTCTCCAGGGTTCAGCACCAGGGCCAGGAGTACAAGTGTGAGGAGTGACTGGCCAGCCCCGACCTGGATCTGGTAGAGCTGTCCACACTGTCCAGGACAAAAGCAAAGTCATGCCGTGCGCACATGCAAGCAGCCCCACTAGAAGGCCCTTTGCCCTTCCAGTGTGTTCTAAGAGCAGGGTTCACAGAGGAGCCAGCCCCAAACAGCTCTACCAGTACACACTGGGAGGTGTCATCATGTTAAGAAAGCATTCATTGTGTCTAGAGCGTCTTTTTACTCACCCAGCACAGGTAATTAAAAGAAATCAGATTCCGAAAGCCACCTTTTCTATATTGTAATATGTTAGGTGTTCTCAGAGGGGAGTTACCTTTGTTGAATCCTTGGACCTTTTAGCATAGATCTTATTTTTAATAAGCAGGCCCATAAATTTGTTGACAAGAATTTGCAAAAATCATTAAAGGCAACAATTTAAGAAGAAAAAGTGCCTTTCACTTTCAATTGCTTTTGTAGCACATCCATTCTAAGAAACAGACATTGACCAAGAGTAACATAAACATTTTTGAAAAGCTCTATTTCTTCCACGTTACTTGGAGGATATCAAAAGAACAGTTAAAAGATGCCTAAAGAACACCTCCCTCCAATTTTTGTATGCCTTTTCTAACCTTTCAATTTTTTTTATGTAGTAAAGTCTCATTTGCCAAATCTGCCCCCCACCCCCCGGGGAAATTCTTTCACTACTTTGTCAGTAACTAAGTGAAATGCTTCTGTGCCACTTTTATCTTTTGTATACTGGATGGAGAGATATGATTATATTTTAAAACTGACTAGCCAGACTTGAGCAAGTACCTCAGCATCTGTGCCGCACCTGGGACTGCTCTGCTCTGTAGGAAACTCCTTCTTACACAAGGACAGTTTTTTCCTGTTTTATTTATTGCCTGTGCAGACCACTTAAGATCTGCAGGTAGGAGTTTGGGGCTTTGTAAAATGACAATCGCTGCCTTGACTGAGAGCTGGATTAGGAAGGACTGGCGCTGACCTGGGACTGCAGTCTGTCTGGACGTCTGTGTCCTCATTTGCACAATGGAGGGTTAGATTCGAGGTCAGCCCTTACCACAGGAGGAGGCTGCATCTGATTTTTCAAACTTCCATAACTACAGTGGACGCCTATGTTGCCGTTGTGTTCTAGGTCCATATTCTAAATTTATTCTTTGTTTCCAGTAGCTTAATACAAGAACAGTATACCGAGCATTTTCTTCTCTTTTCAGATAAGTCTCTTGAATGCAGCCCAGGGCTGAAGAAGGCATTTTGATGACACAGTCTCTCTGTTTTAGCTAAGTTTGTAATTAAAAATTTTTTATAAAGGATATCAAATTCAAACTGACTCTTCAGAGATAAGATTTGAAATCAGACCTATCTAAAAGGTCACCTGAGGTTAGGCTGAGAACTCTGCTTTCTCTGTTGGGGGTAAGCTGGCAGAACCTTCCAGACGTGCCTTTGGCATTAGCTAAAAGTGCAAGAAGCCCAGGTGATCACCATGTGGCCGGGCGCAATGTGCATCCTGAGGACTCAGTAACTCTCCCTGCCGATAGAATATACTGTGAAGGTTCTTCAGGCTGTGGACATTGGTTTAAAAGGAGCAGCTTGAATCTCCTGATCTTTCACTGTTGGCCCTGTAGACCTTGGCTTTGAGGATGAAATGACTGCGCTTGTTTGACCTGAGTCTGGGGGAACAAAGGATTCTGTGACCTGAAATGCATTGCAAAGGGTAGCTTTGAGTAATGCTATTGTTCCAGTGCTGACTCTGAAATTAGCCCTCGAAGAGGTATGTGTGGAAGGACAGGCCTTCAGACGTTCAGGTGTTGAGCAGGTCTTTGGTCAGGCCGAGGTTTGAGCAAAGGTTGTAAATGTGAAGGATAGCCTAATGAAAGCTAACTTCCTCATTTTGTAAGTTATTAGACATTAAGTAGCAGCCAGATAATCTGGTTTCTACTTTTAAATTATTTACAAAGTCAGTAGCTTTTTTTTGGAAAAATTTAAACTAGTTTATGCCATAACTGCTGATTTATGTATTTGCTAAAGGTACTTTTGTATCTGCTATGTATTATAGCAATAAAAGAATCATTTTGTTAGGAAAAAAATCAACTGGTATTTCTCTTCTAATTTGCTGATTTGATACAGATTATCCTCTTTTTGAATGGTGCATTGCTTTTATTAAATTGCTTCTGTGTACTTTTGGAGGAAATGCCAGCTTCTTCTCAGGCAGAGAGAAAATAGAAGCCATGTGCTGTGGCACACACCTGAAATTCCACCACACTGGGAGGCTGAGGGAGGAGGATCACAAGTTTAAGTCCCTGTCTTGTTAATTTTCTCATTGCTAGGACAAAATACCTGACACTCACAAGTTAAAGGAGGAAAGGTTTATTTCAGCTCACAGTCTGTAGAAGTTTCAGTCCATAGTAGGCTGGCTCCAAGGCAGAGGGGCATTGCAAAGGAGAAACAGTTCATGGTGTGGCAGGCAGCAAGCAACAAGCAAGCCTCCTTTTCCCTTTTATCCCACCCAGGCTACAAGCCTTTTGGGTGGTGCCACCCATACCCAGTGGGCTTGTCCATAAGCCAATCATTGGACCTATTTAGTACCACACACCCCAGATTCAACCAGCTCTGAAAAGCCCCACCTATGAGTGCATGAGGCTTTGGGGGGACATCTGGATACAAGCCGTAACAGTCCCACCTGGGCTACATACCAAGACCCTCTCAAAATAAAAATGGGCTGGAGGGGCCGGGGATTTAGCTCAGTGGTTCAGCCACCTGCCTCACAAGTGCAAGGACCCAAGTTCGATCCCTGGTACCAAAAAATAAAAGGGCTGGGGATAGAGTTCTGTGGTAGAATTTCCCTGCGTTCAATCCCCAGTATTGAGGAAAAAAGAAAAAAAATAGAAAACAGAAGTATGAATTGTTAAAAAACTTTATTTCTTAGTAGGCAAAATTTTACGAAATGTCAGATTGACCCTTGGAGCCAGGACCTTCTTGCGGACAGGAAGACTGTGATACCAATGAGTGTTGGTAGGGGGGTTCATCATCAGCAAGCTTCCGTGGGCCAGCTGCAGCCTGACTACCTCTACCCTCTGGCAGGGGTTCTTCCCCCGGGACTCCTTATGCCGGAAAATGAAGTCTCTGCAGGCCCCAAAGGAGACAGAGGCAATGGGGCTTCCTGGGGCCAGTTCTCTTTCGTCATCTCGGTGCTCCCCAATATGGTCACACCCATCTTTATACCTGCAGAGAAAACAAGCACAGTTTAGAATAACCCCCTCCTGTGACTCACCAACACTGCAGGCTCCTCGTTTTCTTGCAGTGTGAAATGATGCTCTGTGTGCTGGCCTCCCCACCATGTTTCTGCAGGACCTTTAAGTCCTCACCTGGGTCTCCAGAAAAGGCCTGACTGAAGCATCCTTATTGGTAGCCCAGTCCTATTTGTCCTCCAGCTTGAAAACACAGTTAAAGCAGCTAAAATCTCATCTCATGGTATGTATACATAATGCTCTGACACATAAAATAACTCCTCCCTACACTAAAGTAAACTCCCTTTCCTTGCCCAGTTTGGCCCCTCCCTGCCTACCTCTGAGTGCATCTTACCCATCTCCCTCATTCATTGCCTTCTAGCCTGTGATGGTTTAGATCTGGGATGTCCCCCCAAAGCCTCACATGTATGGAAGAATTAGATCATGTGGTGAGCTGACTTGCTGTTAAGAGGTGGGGTCTGGGTGGAGATGGGTCACAGGAGACATGACCCGGAAGGGTCTCTCACTGACTCTTTCCTTCTCTCTCTGCTTCCTGATTACCTTGATGTGAACAGCTTTCCTCCACAGGTCCCTCTGTCCTGCTATCTGCCTTGGAGCCAACTGATCATGGACTAGAACCATAAGCCAAAATAAACATCTCCTCTTTTAAGTTGTGAATGTTGGGTATTATGCCCCAGCCATAAGCAAGTGACTAAGACAGATTTTGATACCAGGAATGGGGTTGTTGCTGTGACTGCCTGAGCAAGGGGTTCAGAAGCCTTTGGAACTGGTGTGTGGGAGGAGTTTGGAAAGCTTTGGAGATGCCATCTAGAAAAGCTCAGACAGCTCCCTGCCTCCATCCCAGGCTCCTAGGGCAGAGAAGCTCAGCCGGTCCCAGCACCTGGAAGGAAGCTCCCCTGCCGCCATCCCAGGCTCCTAGGGCAGAGAAGCTCAGCCGGTCCCAGCACCTGGAAGGAAGCTCCTCGCCTCCATCCCAGGCTCCTAGGGCACAGAAGGTGAGCCA